TCTCACTATGCAGTTCAGGCTGGCCTTGAGCTCACTTTGTAGCCCAGGCTGGTCTCCAACTCACAACGATCCTCCTGCCTCAGCATCCCAAGTGCTGGGATTACAGGCGTGCACCACCATACCCGGCACAAAACTTGTTTTTTGTTTGTTTGTTTTTTATCTTTCCCTTTTTTTACACATTATTTTCACTTTGGTGAGGGTAACTTATGAAATGTGCAAGATAAAGAGGGACTATTGGTATATGTGGGTTCTGGGGGGCAGTTTCTCTCTATATACATCCACATACGACTCATAAATCAGTCCCCAGGATTATCGAAATGCACTCATGTGGACCTGAGTCCATAACTGTCTGATCAACTCTTACCTGCGGGTGATTCTGGGCCTATGTCCCTCTCTGGGCCTCGGTTTTTTTTATTTGGTTTGGTTTAGTTTGGTTTGTTTTTGAGACAGGGTCTCACTCTGTAGTTCAGGCTGGACTTGAACTGGTGGCGATCCTCCTGCCTCAGCCTCCCGAGTGCTGGGATCACAGGTGTGCACCACCACACCCGGCATTCAAATGGCATCTAATCTGAATGTGAGTGTGGGCTGCTGAGCGCTGCCCCAAAAGCCAGCACCATGGCCAAGGGCACCTCTGCGATCTGACAGAGCTGCAGTCAGCTGAGCAGTCGGGAACTTTCACCTTCTGCAGCCCCAGTGTCCTGAGAGGGACAGCAATGGGGGTGTCCGCAAGCTGGCCCAAGCCTGGGGTTCATACCTTGCAACTGCTGCAAAAGCAAAGCTCTCTGCAGCATGGAGCCATTGAGGAGGGACGTGGCCTGGAGGTTCAGGAGCTGCTGCTGAGGCTGCTGCTGGGGGAGGCTGCTGTGTAAGGAAAGTGGCCTCGGAGGGTTATTAGGAAAGTCAGACCCTCAGCCTCCACTCCCTGCCACACTCCCCACTTCCACAGCAGACGGAGGGCCCCTCCCTCAGGGTGGGAATGAGAAAATGTAGGACTCACACGAGGACTAGGGTCGGGGGTGCCTCCCACACGTGGGTCTGTAGGGCAGGCGGAAGCCGGCACCCACCCAAGCTGGGACTCACCGGCTCACAGCCATGGGCAGCGGGGCCTGCGGCGGGGACTGCTGGAGCAGCTGCTGGAGCTGCATCAGTTGCTGCTGCTGCAGTTGCTGCTGCTGTAGCTGCTGCTGGTGGCTGAACATGGTGGCTGGGAGGGAAGCAAGGGGAGTGAGGCCCAGGTCCCCTCCCCTTCACAGTCACCCGCCCCAGCCTGAAGCCTCTGGTGCTGCCCGCTGAGCTAGCCCACATTGGCACCCAGGGCCCTCCCCTGCCAGCTTCCCCCAGTCCTGCCCACATCCCTGCCTCCCTGCATCCCGACACAACACACCCCCCCGGCCCCACCTCCCGGCCCCCAGGCGCCCAGCCCCTCCCCACGCACGCCTCTACGGTACCGACATCCTGCGCTTTGTGCCCAGGCTGGGTCAGCAACAGCAGCACCGGCCCGGCGGAACGCCGCCCCCACCCTGCCCCGCAGCCTCGCCAGCCTTACCCCCCGCTGCGTGCCCAGCCCGCCGCGAAGCTCACAGCCTCCTCGCGGGCGGCCCCAAACCCTGCGGCCCCGCACTCGCCCCGCCCC